ACTTCCCGTGGGTAGTATTTGTTTCACCATGGCTACAAGGGCCTAAGTGTAGATGGTTACAGCCAGGACACTTGTTTCTCTGGAGTTCATAACAGAGAGCTACTACACAGACACTACAGTGGCTAAGGGCCTTGAAGAACTTCTGCCTAGATTGACTGAGGTTCATGGAGGCAGGGGGCATCTCAGACTGAGACTCAGCTCACACATACGTGTATAGTGGTGCTGTTTTAGATGTTGTGGTGAAGATATGTCAGGGCTCGTGTATTCTGCATGAATGAGCTTCTACTAGTCTGCAAGTTGTTCTGGTTGTGAGATTACAGTACAGGTAAAATCCCCCTCTACAGATGAGCATTTCTCTTTCCCTCTGCTGATTTCACCTGTGGTTTTATTCTGTCTGCTCCAGATGATTCAGATGACCCTATCATATCCATTTCAGATATTCATTTGCATCCAGTGTCAACCTTCAACCTCCCCTTCCACACTGCCTTTCACACACCTGCCCAGTACTCTTGGCTTAACAATGGAGAGCACCAGATATCCTGCCAAGAGTAGTTTATCCCCAGTATTATTACAAATAGCTATAGATCATCTGTCTTGTCCAGAATTTAGCCATTGGTGTCACAGAACAAATGTGAAAAAAAATTACAGGCCTTGGCGAGTGGATCCCTGAAAGGACAGCATTGAGCTGGGTACTGTCTTGGTTTTAGGGATAGATACAGAAATTAATGACCAGCCTGTGCCATAAGTACAAACAAATATCAATCCTCTCATGAGTTTCCAGCTATGATTCTTCCTCCTCTCCTGGCATTTCAGATTTCTCCTGCATTACCTTGGGCTGTCTTAGAATATGAAGTGTGTGGTTCTGCCAGCAGGTAGAGAAACTTCCTAGGCAGTGAGACTTTAGCCTCTTTAGTCTCCTTGTTCTTATCGTCAAGTAAATTTTCCTATAGCCAACACGTGTTTCCCTTCATGATTGCTTCCATGACTGTCATGACCCAGAAGGCTTACACAAAGCTTTGAACTTTGCCCATGTTCCTTTCCCCAAATGCTCATATCCTCTGTCTTGCCTCAGATTTCCTTTGACTTCTGGTCTGATTCCATTGGAGCCAAATTGGGCAGCTGATGAATGTGTTTAGGAAGCCTGAGCCAGGATGAAACTTATGATTTGATGGTGCTGTTTCATTAACTCTTCACAATGTCTGTGGTGAAGATCACAATGTCCCTGCACTGAGTTCCCATTCGGGAAATGGGAAATGTGACACTCTTGGAAGATGTTGTAGCTTTGAGTTGGCACTCATGCTTTTGATGACCACGTTAAACAGGGTCAGACACTCACTTGGATCATGGGGAACTTACTTTGTATTCTCCCAGTAAAGGAGTAAGATGTTACAGTTTGAAACAGTGTCCTACTTAGCCTTAAATATCACCCTGACACAGCCTAAAGCCACTAGGGGGAATCAGAGTCTTGAATAGGATACAGTAGTCAGATGAACACGTGA